TAGAGTGATTAACTGGCCTGATTTCAGTATTGTTGTGTCTCAAGGAATAGGGAGGCCTGACAGGGAGAGATGACGGAATGGCTGATTGGTGGAGCAGTCAGAACACACACAACATTTATTGATTAAGTTCATAGGCTTACATGGATGTGGTTTGAGACACCCCAAAACAATTACAGTAGGAACATCAAAGACCACAGACTGCATATCACAGTAGCAAATGTAATGATAATGAAAAAGTTTGAAGTATTGTGGAAATTACCAAACTGTGACACAGAGACATGAAGTGGACAAATGCTGTTGGAAAAATGACACCAATAGACAAGCTCGATGCATGGTTGCCACAAACCTTCAATTTGTAAAAAATGCAGTATCAGTAAAGCACAATAAAGCAAAGTGCAATTATTATTATGCTTGTATGTAGTCACACAGTTTGATTAGCTTTACTCTTGAAGTTTTATGTAGTATAAAGCAAGTATTTAATCTATAAGATTATATTTTTATAGTTTACATTGATTACTGCTAGTAGTTTCACAGAAATTTTCTCTGAAAATCTCCAAAAGCTAAAGAATCTTCCCCCAACAGTGCATCCTACAGCTTCAGTGCATGTAGTTCTGCCATGTAACTTAGTCAGATGGACAATGTCTGAGATGTTTACTTATTTAATATCTCATGTATTAATATATATACAACTCAGTAGATTCTATTTTATTGGGTATTATGCTAAGAGCTTTGAATTTTTAAGCACTGGCAGGGTTGTTACTTTATAGTATTAACCAGGGCTCAAAAATCATAAGTAATTCTTAATTTAAACCCGTAGAGTAAAGATGTTGCCATCCATGGATGTATGAAGTTGTCATTTATTGGATTACTCAAATAAATCAATGTTTGTTGAAGTGATGACTTAATTGAATAAATAAGAATTCTGAGTACCTAATACCTCATTGAAAGATTATGATATTATTAAGCCAGTAGGTGTCCCTAAAGTCTATTTGTTGTTTCTTTCTGGGCATCAGTTTTTTGTGACTGAATAAATCCTGACCTTTGCTTATGCCTTGTCAGGCATAAAAAAACTCCTTGTCAGACAGTGAAAATTCCTACAGATTTAAGATAGATGAAACCAAGCTTATTATGGAAGTAAAAGAACAGAAATCAAGTTTTGCCAGATTAGGCAGTTGGCATGGTTTTTACTTCAGATTTCACTTTGGTTATAATCTGTTCCTTTAAGAGTTCATAGACTAGGAAATGTAGGGGTTAAAACGACAAGAGGGGAAAACATCTTCTATGAGTTTGGGTTTTTTCCTCAACATTTTTGATTAAAATTTTTGAACTTTCATTTTTTTAAAATTTAATTTTGTTGAGTTATAGTCAGTTTACAAAGTTGCGTCAATTCCCTCATTCATTTCTGATTTTAGCAATTTGAGTCTTTTAAAATCAATTTCATTGATTCTTTTCAAAGAACCAACTTCTGGTTTCATTGATTTTCTTTTTGTATTTCTATTCTCTGTTTCACTAGTTTCC